CCCTCCCCGCCGCAGCCGGCTGACCCCCCGGGCAGCCCCCGGGGCCGGGTCCCCAGCAGGGCCCTGGTCCCCACGGGCGGGCAGCAGGTTTGGGAAGCAGTTGCCCCGGCAACAGAAACAGGGCGTTTCTGGCAGCGGTGGTCGCCATGGGGACGGGGATGCTGACGAAGGCTTGTGAGGCTGAGAAGACAAATTGCCCTCATCATTATCTCCGGGCTTGTCAATCAAACATATTCCCTTATTTACCTCGGCGAGGAGAGAGCCCCGGGAGCACACGGAGAGGGAGGGAGCGAGAGGAGAGCTGCTTGTCCCAAACTCCGTACTGGGGAGGGAGCATTTCCAGCCCCTCGGGATGGCCACCATCACCTGCAATCGCTTCACCGAGGAGTACCAGCTCTTCGAGGAACTGGGCAAGTAAGTTGGGAACAGGGCTGGGGTGCTCGGAGATGTACCCCGACTGGGGAAGAGCCTCAGCGGCGCTGGGAATGGCCGGAGCTGGGGGAAAGGAGAAGGGCATGGAGCAAATGCATCAGGGAGCGGCAGGGGGAGGACTCAGGCTGGGATGGGGGCTGCCAGCCCCAGCTCTGCCTGCTCCGTCCCTGCCCGAGTTCGGGTGGCTGCTGATGGGTGCTCGGCCGGGGGGCTCGGGTCACCCCGGGGGTCTGGAGCTGCCTGGGGAGGGGTCGGCTGCCCCTCTTTTGGAAAAGCTGCTCCTGAAAGAGGATGCTGCCAGCTCCCCCGGGAACTTCTCCAGCCGGGAGGAGGGATGGGACAGCCGAGGAGCAAAGCTGAAGCGGCGGGCGCCCCTCACATTTTTTTTAGGGAATTTCTATGGGTGGATTCACCGGGGTTTGGCGAGCCCTGCAGGATACCCAGCCTGCCTGGCAGCCCCTGGAGGATCCCGGCGGCTCTTGGACAGGCCCGGGGTGTCTCCCACCCCTGTCCCAGCGCGAGTGCCCCAGGGGTGAGCCACAGCCCTGCCTGACCCAGCTCTCCTGCTGGGGACAGCTCAGCGCGGCAGGTCCGGGTGTCATCGTGCGTGCCTGGATCGGGGTGCATGTGGGTGTGCATGAGTGTGCAAATAGAAATACCATGGCATGGAGATGCGATCCTGGGGGGCACTGAGCACCCCAGGGTGGAGCAGGAGATTTCAGGTCCTCCCTGCGGGGCAGAGGGATGCTCCGTGTCTCGCCGAGCGTGTGGCTGTAAAACGGGTGCAGAAGTGAGCGGGCATGTGCCTGTGTTTTGGTTTCTGTGCCTTTTTTTTTTTTATTTTTTTTTTTTTTTTCTGGGAGTGGGTGTGGAAATCTG